GTAGGGGTAATAGTCATTGCATAGGTAGGTACATGTTACAAACATCCAATGAGAGAGGAATGGATCCTGCATAGATAGTTGTGATAGGATACCATTTTATCAATCTGTACTTTGTATATACTAGGTATCCATCCAAACCTTTGGGACTGATCATTCACACCCTCCCCTCCCAAAGTTCAATTTCGCGCGGTTCTCTCTTCCCTTCTTCTCTGCTTTCTTTTTCCCTCCTCTCATCCTTGACATGCAAACGCCATCCCAAGCACTCCGTACTCCGTAGAAAATGTAATTGGATTGTACGGAGTAGCACATGGGAATGGATGGACATGATTCAATTGGACCAAAAGGAACGATGGGCACCAGATGGAATTAGTTTGGACCCCTTCCCTTGCCTGCTCTTAGCGCATCCATCCTTGGTGTGAGACCCATCGGCTAAGCATGCTGGACTAAAAGGATGATGGACGATTTTCAGGGGGAAACCGGAAAAACGCCTCGCACTGCATAAACCGCTTGGGCGTCGGCGTCCTGAGATTAATTTGGATCTCCATCCGTAAAATTGTATGGAGATGGGTGTCATCGTATTTTCATCTCGAGAGAAATGCCTTCTCCATTTTATGTATCGCTTCCGATGACGATACCGAAGACGTGGTGTATGTTAATACGAGAAACACTTGACAGAATAGATGTGCGTCTTTTGGTTTCTCTTTCTGCGGAGGCCGTCGCCCGTATTGTGTGCTATTAGATGAGTAGACAAGAACACAAAGAGAATCCAAATGATAATCCACAGAATCACAAACCATTAAATTTTACCTATCGATAAGAACCCTCTATGCTGGTGGCGTCCTACTGGTGTACCGCAATTCAACATGAAACGATCCTCAAGACCAATCACCTCCCAAAGCAAGCCAGATCATCCCGTCGTTCTTCGCACAGACTGCACTCTTTCAGGATTAGTGTGAAGTGAGTACCGACATACCGACATGGTACGGAGTACCTTTCGAAGATTACTTATCATTTATTATTTATGATTTTCCCTTTTCCCTTTTCCCTTTTCCCTTCTACCTTCCATCTTCTACCCAGATAAACTCTTACTTACAATCTGAATAAACATTTCATTCACTCACACGCTAGCTTACTTACATTTGATCTTGTAATTACAAAGTCCATCCAGATTCCATTGGCGCAGCATCTCATTCAATTGTTCAAACATTCAATTTCCTTGGCAGACAAACAAAACGATCTTCAGCCTCTCTCCCAATTCTCCATTCTTTCTTTACATTCCATTCCAGTGATTCCACGCTTTCTTTTCGCGCAAGTCAGTCATCATATGCCGTGTTTCCGCTGTACCTACTTTCCTTTCCTCCGTTTGCTTTACTTTGCTTTGCTTTATTACTTTGCTGCACAGCACTGCATCGGCCCACACCGGCGCTTGCAAACTTGCAAAACAACCCCCTTTCCTTAACATATTTGACATACCTTGATACTATAAAAAATATTCTCACCGTAATAATAACTACTAGGTAAATACCTAATAAATACCTAATAAATACCTACATAGCAAGAAACAACCCAACCCAACACAACAAACCCACCAAACCTTTCATTTGATCTCCCTACCTCCCTATCCCCCAAATTCAATCAACCCTTCATTCCCTCCCTCCCGTTCATCTGAAATTTCATCTGAAATCTCATCTGAAATCTCATCTGAAATTTCATCTGAAATCTCATCTGAAATCTCATAATCATCCTCGCAAATATTCTCTCAATTGGAAAGGAAAGTCAAAGAAGATCAACGTCACAGTCAACCTTGGAAAGTCACAGTCACAACAGGAGCCAAGCCTCTCTACTCTGCTCTGCTCACCTGCAAACAACTACGATACTGTACTGTGTGATAAATGGACTGAGAATCTTTTCCCAGACTATTATATCATGTCATATCAAATCATATCATATTATTAATATACTAGGTAGTCAGTCCACCAGTCTCTATCAATTTATCTGTCTGTAGTCTTTATTAGAGTAATAAAATGTTCCATCATCTACCTTATTCATCTCTCACTTACCACCTCCCACCTCCCACCTACCTTCGAAGCATACCTAGTACCAATATAATTACTCAGTATACAGAAAACATCAGTCATCAATCAATCATTCATTATCCAACACTTTCCACACCCGACTCCCAAGACACACACACACACACACACAGTCTCTCTCTCTCTCTCTCTCTCTCTCTCTCTCTCTCTCTCTCTCTCTCTCTCTCTCTCTCCCCTCAAAAACTTCACATGTCAAGAATCAAGATGGATGATACCGGTATCCCTGAACAGGAATAAGATACGTAAAAGTAAAAAATAGTACTGGAAATTACTCTGTCATTACCGTACTCCGTCATTACCTAAAACCCCCCTAAACCCTACCCTACCACCAAACATCCACCCCACCACCAAAATCCCTCAACCCATGATGACCGAAATTGCCAAGCGTTTATATTATATGCACGAAATCCGTCCACAACAGAGTCCAAACGACCAGGGTACACCTATTTTGGAGATACAGAGGAAATGAACAAACATCTCATATATTTCATCCATTCTCCATTTTACGTCTTAAGCTTTTGACTCCCGTGTTCATCATCGTCATTTTAAATTGTTTGTAGCCTGTGAAACAGTCACTTCAACTCAAACACACACTCCAATTCAGTCGATGTTTGCACGCTTCACGTTAGGCTGTGTAGGATAGAGGGTGCATCATCAACATGCATCATACGCAATTCATACGTGTTGGAGGGGCACGATAATGCAACCATTAGGCAGGTAGGTAAGAAGAGGGGAGATTGGTGCTAGGTCGCCATCCCATCGGCCCATGTTGGTGGGATGATGCATGATTCCTTCATGGACAACTATTCTGGGCCGACCCCAGATTACCTACTACACGCGACTAACAACAATTGTCCCCAGCTCTTGGTTGCCTTCACCTCAGAGACCACTGGGCAGAGCAATCGCGACGTTTGTGACCATTCCTTCAGATCTATCAGGAGACGAACAGGCCAAGGAGGGGGCGAAGCATAGCAATGTCCATATTGATTACATCAAATTAGTAAATCTTGGAATTCGTGCCTTATCTAAAAGCTTTCCTCTTGTCACTCAATGGAGGAAATTGCTTGTGAATTTGTGTCAATCTGTTTTCTATATTCAACATGTTAGCTTAGTGCACTTAGATGGCGGACACGGAACATACTCACTTTATTGGACATGTCCCGTTTCCTCCACGCAAGTTGTTTTCTTGACGTGCTTATGAAGCACCGTCCTTTTCTTCATTTATCTTCCCTCGACTAAATTAGGCTAAACAAATTAAGTAAGGAGATCCGCAACATTCATTGGCATCTCATCGATTTGAGTAGAGTAGTACACTGTTTCAAACATATTAGCACTGCGCGGCAGGATTCAAGGAGAGGAAGTACTTACACTCAATATCTCTCAAAATCCTAACATCTTCACTGGTTACGAAATTGATCGCAACACCCTTTCTTCCGAATCTACCACTTCGACCAATGCGATGAATATAGTTCTCACGGTTGACTGGTAAGTCATAATTGATGACCAATGAAACTTGTTGAACATCAATTCCACGAGCCCAAACATCTGTAGAGATCAACACTCTAGAATTTCCTTGGCGGAAATCTTGCATAATGCTATCTCTTTCCTTCTGAGGCATCTCTCCGTGCATAGAGGATACAGTAAAGTTGGCCTCGCGCATCTTATCGGTCAACCAATCAACCTTTCTTCTTGTGTTGCAAAAGATTACGGCTTGTGTAATAGTGAGGGTATCGTATAAATCGCAAAGTGTATCGAATTTCCAATCTTCTTTCTCCACGGCAATAAAGTATTGTTTTAAACCTTCCAAAGTCAACTCATCACGCTTGACAAGAATACGGACAGGGTCGGTCATAAATTTCGTAGTCATGTCGAGAACATCGTATGGGAGGGTAGCGGAAACGACAACGACTTGTGTCGCTGGAGGGAGGTAACGGTAGACGTCGTAAATCTGCTCTCTGAATCCGCGGTTCAACAACTCATCGGCTTCATCAAGAACCAACATCTTGATATGACGAGTGCGAAGATTTCGTCGACGAATCATATCAGCAACACGACCTGGTGTTCCGGAAACAATATGTTGTCCATAATCTAGCTTGCGGATATCCTCTCCAACATTGGTACCTCCAATACAAGCGTGACATTGTACATTCATGTAGTCTCCCAAAGCCATGACAACGGATTGAATTTGAGTCGCAAGTTCTCGAGTTGGTGATAGAACCAAGGCTTGAGTTTCGCGGACAGCTGTATCGATGACTTGGAGCATACTGATAGAGAAGGTTGCAGTTTTACCAGTACCAGATTGGGCTTGAGCAATAGTATCGCGACCTTTGCAAATTTGGACAATCGCACGGGATTGAACAGCTGAAGGGGATTCGTAACCATATGCATAGATACCACGGAGTAAATTCTCTATCTGACTGTAAGCCTGATGACCATATCAATATCCATATACACATAAACATACCCTTGAGATGCATGTCCTGGAAAGTTGGCGCGACGGTAACATCTGCAGAAGTTGTAAACTCCATGCGATCATCCATCTTTCTATCAATTCCTTCGGCCATGATAGCGGTTTAGTTTTATCTTTTCGTATTGAGATTGAGGTCGATGATTGAAATCCCAAAGTTATCTCTTAGAAAGTCATTGAGGTTTCTCCGCCTCCAGATGCGACAAAGCTCTGAAATTTTAGCGTCAAAAATTAAAGTTAGCGGCCGTGTGTGGATTCACGCGAATTGATTGGTTGGCGCAAAAAGTTCAAGAGCCTGAACTAGAATCATCAAAAACAACCTGGACATCTATCTATCTATCTATCCATCGTGTTGTTGATTTTCCTCTATCAATCTTATCAACCTCCCACGGCAGGAACAAGATCACAATCAAAGGTCGACTTGACACGGATCCTTCAAAATGATATTAGAAGAGCAAAGATTCCTCCATGAGGATCTTGAAAGGCTTGAACAAGGTATCGCTGATAGAGTAGCTGAAGATCCAAAGCAGGTAAGAATTGAAGATATTTGCCTTTCTTCAATCAACCATTCTAACCTATTATCAAGGTTCGGGAACGATTGAATCGAGATCATCAAATCGGGCACTTCCTAGACCGAATTCAAGATCAGTCCAAACGTTTACTGGACATATACAAAGATGTGGATGGAGTACGAAGCAAAGAAATTCAATCCATATCGACGGGCGAACCACTAGAAGAATTTTACAAACAGCTTGGGGAAATCAAGGGTTTCCATCAAAGATACCCGAATGAACCTGTTGAGAATCTCGAAAAGGCTTACAAGAAGAAAGCACCTATGGAAGGGGAGACTGCTACATCAGAAATCGACAACATGTTCACAGGAGAGGAGGCATTTGGACGATTCCTAGATCTCACTACCATTCACGAATTATTCTTAAATCTCCCTAATATCAAACGTCTTTCCTATCTACAATATCTGGACAATTTCGATTCGTTCGCGCCTCCAACATGTCCCGTGAAACGCCCAGATAAGATGACCGATCAATACTTCGCGTACGTTGGGGAGCTAGCAAACTATCTGGAAAGCTTCATGCGCCGAACAAGGCCATTGGAGAATTTGGATAAATTGTTTGCGAGCGTTGAGGAAGATTTCGAAAAGGCATGGAAAGATAATGATGTTCCTGGATGGAAACTGGAGATTACAGCACCCGTGAATGGATCAAGTGCATCTGGAATATGGTGCGCAGATTGTGAGAAGGAGTTCAAGAATGAAAACGTATACAAGGGTCATCTACCAGGAAAGAAGCACGTTCGAGCCGCAGAAGCGCGAGCAGCGCGAATGGCCGAAACAGGAGAGGACAGCAATGGTGCCATACAACCAACATCATCCACAGCTCGCCTGAAGGAACGTGCAATAGCGGACCGAGAATACAGAGTAAGGCGTCTCGCTGCTGCTATGACACAAGAGAGAAGTGACACAAGAGTCAACGTCGAACGAAAGCAAGGCATGACCGAACGTGAACGACAAATGGAGCTTGATGCCTTATTTGCCGAGTCATCATCTGCAACACCTCGAGATGGAGATTCAGACAGCGAGTCAGACAGTGATGACAAGGTCTACAACCCATTGAAGCTGCCGTTGGCCTGGGATGGTAAACCTATTCCTTTCTGGCTTTACAAACTCCATGGACTCGGTGTTGAGTTCAAGTGTGAGATTTGTGGAAATTATGTTTACATGGGCAGAAGAGCTTTTGATAAGCATTTCAATGAGGCTCGTCACATTTATGGTTTGAAGTGCTTGGGCATTACGAATACCACATTATTCCGCGAGATCACTGGAATTGAAGACGCGTTGAAGCTGTGGGATAAATTGCAAAGGGAAAAGAAGAAGGGAAAGACCGAAGAAACTGGTGTTGTTCAAATGGAGGATGCAGAGGGAAATGTTATGCCTGAGAAGGTTTACTACGATTTACAAAAGCAAGGCTTGCTATAGGCAATGGATTAATGGCGTCAGTTAGGGGTGTATAATAAGAATGCATGTATCATACCCATTACAAAGGAGATCACGAGATGTATCACTTCACAATGAACAATTTTGTCTGTTCCGATGTTACATCGTCCCGGCGTAAAAACCCTTGCTCTTTCTAAGGAGCAGTACGAGCAAACGGTCCTCGCCGATGCAGGATATTGAAAATGGGCAACTTAGTACCAGTGATGCTATCAAGTACTAGCACCATTGAATTAGCACTGGTACTATGGTCTGGATTACCAAGACCTCCAGACTTGCATTAATCTCCTACATTTCATACAGAACACAATACTGCATCAACTTGCACACCGATTTTTTCGTATTTCTGATACCTAATTCCTCTTCGTCACTTTAGTATACTTCCACCGATTTTCCACACACAATTCTTTTCCCCTTCTGAACCTCAACACGTTCCGATTCTATCACGTCCCCTGCGGCCTCGGGTAGATATTACCTGTAATATCCTTCCGCTTGACTGAGGATCTCATTCGTATACCCAGTTCTTACTTTAGTGAAGCGAGCGCTGCCAATTTTTTTTATTTTTTTTTGGTACATAACTGCGATCATAAATTGCCTCTTGTTCTTCGGATATGCAATGTATTGGTGATAGTATTTCGATGTATACAGGATCGCGTTTATGTAAAGAATATGGATCTCATTTCAACCATGCGTTCAAAGTGCTGCAAGATTGAAGCATAGAGATTTCACGAGACGTGCCGAATAGAGATTTGTGTAATATAATCATGCACGCAAAATTTGTGTATCCTTATCATTCTGTAACATGAGGCGTACAAATTGTTTTATATTCTCATTGTTTGTTTTGTGTTGAGCCAGTTTTCTAGATGCGCTGGTGTGCTGGGTGTTGTTGTTCGTCTTCAATTCTTAGAGGACAGAAGGGCGGGAATGAGTATTTTATAAGTATTTTAACTTCACGTGGATGAGATCCTGCTGCTGTTCCATCTATGAGATTCGGACGAGGCTGACATTCGCGTTTTATAATTCATTGGACTAGTAAGTTCCATGCGCAAAGGTGTTGCATTTATGCATGTGTATCAAAATTTGTTTGCCATGTTCGTAAAATCATTCCCTTCAGATTGTATTTAGAGTCTTATTTTATCTAAGGCTGGTGCATTTTGGTTTTGCTATTCTGATTCATCTTCAACATCATCGCTGAAAGATTTGCAATTTCGACCATCGCAATATCGATCTTAGATCCAACGCAAGCTTCAAGTCAAGCCCACCACATAATCGAATGAAAAAACAACGCTCCCATAAGTAATCAATCCCCATTAGTAACTCCCCCAAGAGCAATGCCTCTCAACATCGTGTTCCTCATGTCACCCTGAACATCTTTCGCATTCTTCCCGAGTCATTTTCCTCGACACATTGTCCACAGCCACATCCAGCATCGCTGAACCACTTCATCAAATTTATACGAGCAATCATTCTTTTGTGACTCATGGCCCCATCTTCCGATTGTCCAATGGCTAATTTAGGCTGTTTTTCAATCTCCTCGGGGCTGTAACCGCCCATAGGGTCACCCACATAGCAGATCGTCAACTCCTCGCCTGCCTTGATATCTCTATTGGCCCTGCAATTCACACTACTACTTCCAGGTTTAAGCACCTCCTGGTTTGGTCCGTCTCCAGCCAGGAGTGCCGATATGTCCTGAGCTCCGTTCAAACATGTACCATTCCACATCACGTTATATCTGCAACTATGGTTGAAGAACGAATAGCTAGGACTGATTACGATCAAGTGCGCCGTTGTAGGTCCCGACTTGGGCGTGCGAATGGAACGGAATGATTCATCCAATTGGAGACCAGGAATGTCAATTATGCTATTGTTAGCGTTGTTCAACATGCGCCAGTATATTGTCTGGATCAGCTCCGGAGTCCAGATGTTTGCCAGAAACTTGGTTTTGCCTTCATGTATCTTCTTGACTGGAGAAAAAATATCAATGCCGAGATCACTTAGAATGCGGGTAGGTGCGACTATGTTCTCATGATAGGACCAATTTTGGCCATGAATAGCTTGTTCGTCATCACTGGCGTAATTGGCTGTCAACCTCGCCAGCAGCGGATGTTGCAAGGGGTTTTTCTGAGGAGTCGAATCTTTTGACCAGCCAGGTGTGCTTAGAACGATACACATGACGCGCAAAAACATCCTAGGATCCCATTCAGTTTGAGAAGCGCCAGTTTTGTAGAGCCAGGTGAAATCGATACCACACTGAATCTTATGATAACCTCCGATGGCAAGATCATGACAGCCTTTGGAGCAGAACGATATGTTACATCCGCATGATGGTCGACAAATCTGGATTGGTTGTACAAAAGGGGGAGCCAGGTGGGCATGACATGCATCGCAAAATTGTCCAGTGGAAGGCGGAATATTTGAAACGCATGTGTATGACTTATCAACTAAAATTGATTCTCCTTCTTCGATGTCGCGTGTGGCGAAAATACCCAGGGGTCCAACATCTGCGTTCTTAGGAAGATCAGAAAGTGATCTAGATTTTGATGCTATACCCGGAGATCCGAAGATCACAGGTCGGACTTCTGCATTGAGAGAGCCAAATGTAGAGTTGACTTTTCTGACCAAGCGGGGTGTTCGGACAAAAAGCTTTGGAGCCATCCACGGGTATTTTTTCTGATATATCAATCCTGATCGACTCCCTGCAACGGTATTGTCATCAGGCCCATCCTTGGCCTCTTCCAATATTTCTTCATGTCTATTCTGGAAAGATGCAAACAACAATGCTTGAAGATCGAGTAATTCAAAATCACCTGGAAAATCCTCCAGACCAAGTTTGACCACCGTCAAGCCATCCCAAAATGCTGCACAATGCAGTAATCCTTGGACCAAGCAACGATAAGTTTGAAGATACATCGATTGTAGTTCGTCAATAATTATGCCTGTCGAGCTGGTGTAAAGGCGAGTCGCAACAGCTGTGTATACTAAGCGAGAGAGCTCGGATTGTTGAGGAGTGATGGTTTGAAGACCAGCCTTGATGAGAATAAGAGCGCGATAGGCGTAATGGGACGAGGTGTCCTTAAAAGCAAGTGTGGCGTCAAGATTAGCAAGATCGATGTAAATGAAGGGATCATGTGGCGCAATGGTCATGTCATGAATAAGTGCCTTGCGGTAGAGTATGAGACCATCGAGCTGATTCTGTTGATTCAATGATTAGTTACCATATTTAACGTTCTGTGCGAAACTTGCCTTTTTCTGAAGTTCGATGGATTTCTCAGTGATGAGATCAAATTCACATGTTCCAGTCCACTCGTGGCGAATTTTAAACTTTTCGGCGTCTCCTTCGATGGTGCTAGGTACGTATTCCATCTGAGAGTCTTCAGTCACAGCAGGGCAGCTAGCGCTATGTATGGCTTCGATTGGATCAACTGAGACTGTAGGAGCCGTGTCAGGATTGAAAGAAGAGGATGTCATTGCTTCAGTGAGTTCTGGTTCTGTAAAGGCCATTGATAAGATATCCTCCGCGGCTTTCTCAGGCGATTCAGTGTCTGTCGAGTCCAGCGGCGGGTGCAATTCCTTTGCGGGGTGTCCGTCGACTACTTCGATGCGATCAACTCCTGGCTTTTCAAGTGCCTCCTTGTTCTTTTCAAGTCCCGGTTCGCTTCCAGGAACGAGTTCAAGAGCGGTATCTTTCCATAATGGGGAAGCAAGTTTGATCACCTCCTCAGGCTTTGCCTTGCACTTAGGAGTAGGCTCTTCATCATAAAGCGACGCAAATATTGAAGCCACTTTTCTCTTGAATTTCTCGGGGTCCAAGGCTCGAATAACGAGGGGAGGGGGACTTGACATAATGGCTTCATGTTCAGATGGAGAGGTAGGAGGAGTGTCGATGAAGTCAACTTTGTTAGGAGATAGTGGAATGGTGGTCTCGGACATTGTTTAAATAATTTCCGTTAGAAATGATGTGGTGGGAGTGAATTTTTAGATGATCAAATGACCAAATAATGAAGAATAGTCGTTATGTTTGCTAATAATATTTGAGTGGAAAAGATAATTTAGATAGTTGGAGTAAACCTATATAGAAAGGGATTAGATATGGCTCATAAGAGAAATGCAAGACAGTGTTTTAAGGTAGCAAACAACGAAAGAAATATTATCAATACAAATACACCATGAAAGTAGGTGTTTGTGACTAACCGTCTGTTTGTAATATGAAGCGAGGGAGCTGCAGAACGCAGGCATCTGCTGGCCAACAGGCAAAAGCCGATGGGAGTAACAAAACAATAAGTGTCAAGAGGTTTAGAAATCGAAGAATTGAATGGTGCAATGCTAAGGATGAAGACGACGGTGAGGATTTGGGTATTTCGAGATGTGGACTGGTAGTGATTATTTGGATTGAGTATGGTAAGATATGAGTGAGAATAGGTGCTCAAGTAGTTCTTCTGTGTCGAAGACTCCTGGGTGTTGGAATGTGGTTTTTCCTTCTTCGAGACTTATGCTCTCTCAGGATGAAAGCCGATCCTTAAATAGAGGCTTGGGAGATTTTTGAGAGGAGGGAGGAGGGGAAGAAAGTGGGGTTGAAGAAAACCACTAGAATCTTGATTCACCTTGATCAGCACAGTGACTGAATCCCCGCTATTTCGGCTGCGATGGTGTTGACAATGGTGACAGCAATATTAAGCATAGACCCAAAGGACAACAGCAAGACATGAGTTGAAGTTATTGGCATTATCAAGAACTGCTTGGGAGACGATATATATGAAATGCTAGTAAATAGTGTATAAAATAGACATGCCATAGTGTTTCACGGTCAGAAATTCAATAGCAGGGCGTACTCACTCGAGTAAAAGCCCCGGCCACTAGGATGACACCAGCAAGACTCTCCTTGTTTAAGCGACAATATTATCCCGAAGTTTCGACAGTAAAAGGGTCCATCAAAATTTGCTACACCGCAGCCTCAGTGGATTTTTGCAGTGTCAAATAAATTCCTT